ACTGAAGACCAATATCTCACTCAAAGTCATTTGCGTCCGTCATAGGCATAGAAATCTAGGTTGTTGACAGTGGTGCCCGGCCACTTTATTTTTTGCATATCTGGGTTGTAATAAGGGCAGTTTGCCTATGGCCATTTAGTTGATTATTCTGGATTTTTATTGATGTGTTTACCTGATGGAGCAGTAGAATTACCTAATTTTTTTAGGTTTCTTTCTTGCATGCCATTTTTGCTTTCGCCTAGATTTTTGTTAGGCTCTTTTAAGGATTACAAAATTTATATACTCATAACTAATCTTATAAAATTTTAAGATTTAAATAACATAAAAATCTAACGAACCTAGGGAACTGCTGAAATCGTCCAGGGTCACATGCATATTACTGTATTCTTCTTTCCTTGCTATAAGACATCTCCCTGCCTACGGGTAGAGTTCGGATAATCTGGCCTATCAGGATGAAGTGTCGGACCTAGGGAGACCCAGTCTTTTTTAAAAATTTATTTTCTATAAGCTTATTTTTAAAATTCTATAGCATTCATGAGCTGACATTTCAACTAGCATGTATTGCATCAGTAACCAACTAAATAAGATTTAATTGCATTAGCCAGGAGCATCTAACCTACATAAGTCCAAGACTACTTAGAAAATTATTTAGATGTTAGTCCTATTTCTAATAACTGTACCACCCACCCATCTCTTATAACTGACTTGACAGCATGGTTTTAAAGCGACTAGGTGGTTAGCTGGCTCCCCAATCCAGACTGGGTAAGTCCAGGTTTTGTACTGCATTAGCTAGGACACGGGTATTAGTATTGTGTAGAACACTAAGCTCAATCTAGATCTATGATTCGAGGCTACTACATTTGGTCTCGTAGTATGCCTTAAATAGTAGGTAGGTCCCTTCCTTTCAGGGACTATAAATCCTACTTATCTGCGTCACAGGATGACGCCACCTCCATCTTTTCTCTCATGCATGTGATTGAGTGCTTGACTTCCTTTCATCCAATTTCTCTTTAGTACCCTAGAGCCTCCGAGTGCTGGCATGAGCCACGCATGTTGAATGAGCCTTTTTGGACCTTTCTTCCTTTCGAGTAGGACTTCTTAGTCTACACCCCTGTTCCAATCCCATTTTAGCAGAGGACAATGTATGATCCTTAATCGAGAGTTTTCTCAGGCTCCGGCCTAAGATGTAATTAACCACGGGGGCTTACGCCCGTGGGAAACTTAGCCCGACTTCTACTAAACCCCATTTGAACTGTTGTAGCGGATGGAGGAAACCTGTGACTAGGTCGTGTATATTACTACCCATCGGAGTGTGTTGGCGACAGCCTCTATCCTCAATGGTTAGTCGTATGCAATATCCAATCTGTCCCTTCCAATTGACCCGTTCGTGCGGTGTTCTTTCGGAGGTCCACAGTTGGTCGTTGTTGGTTCGAGTTTATGGGTTCTAGTTTATTTTTCCCTGTGTTGGGTGGTGCTGTTATCTTTGGATTGGGTCTTTATGGCCCAGATTTATTGGGTTTTGGTGTTGCTTTGGTGGCTTTGGGGGGTTATGTCTTCTCTTTTTTATTTTCTCCTATTGTATTTGGTGTTGTCCCTATCTTGCTCTTTGGTAGTGTGACTCTCTGTGTGTTCTGTGGCTTGTCTGCCAGTTCTGGGTTAATTCTTCCCAGTCTGTTTGGTTTTTGGTGTTATTTGGTATTTTCCTGTTGTGGTACTTGGGAGGTTTTTGCCTCTAATTATTGGTTGTTCTGGGGGTGTTTTCTCTAGCATTTGGTTTTATCACCCTTGGGCTTGGTGGGGCATGTGCTAGAGCTGCCTTCCTAGAGCTGCTTTAAGTTACTTTCCTTGGAGTTTATTTGTTTGTGGTTGAGTGGGTTGACTTTGTTTCTTCACCCTCGTTTTATTAAGGAGATTGTCTCTTTGTTTCCATTACTTAAGTTTTGGGGGGCTCTTTGGTTTTCTGCGGTTGTGGTGTTATGGTGCCTCACTGAGTCTCTCTTGGGCTTGGTGGAGCATGTGTTGTTTCGGCTTTTCTGAAGTTGCCTAGTTCTGGTGGGCTGTTTTACTGTTATGCCCCGGGTGTTAGCTTCCTTTCTTTTGGTCTATATTTCCTTGTGCTATCATTTATGTTGTTGTTTGGTTGGAGTTATGTGCTATTATTTGGGTATCAGCCTGACTTTGAGTACTATCTTGATGGAAGTTTGGACTATTTTTTGCAATTATAGCTATTGTAATCTCCTTATATATTTTTATTTTTGTTATATCTTTTTTGTACAATATTTAATTTTGCAGTATTCCTTTTTTGTAGGTGAGCATATTGATCATATCTTGGAAGGGAAGCTGAATCTGGTCGTTGTTTTTGGTTCTTTAATCTTTTTTGGTGCGTTCTTGAGCACCATAGCATGTACCTAGGTTTTTTTATACTTTTTGATAATAGGGACCTCGAGCTCGTAGGTTTTTTTTGTTTTTTTTTTGTAGCTCTTTCGAGCAGTAGTGAGCTTGAGGACCCTTTAAGGATCTTGTACTAATTTTTCTATATTAACACGTAGGCCCCTCGATGAGTTCCCCCTAAAAAAAATGAACCAAAGCCTTATGTATGCACCTTATACCTCTGTAAAAAAAAATTAAAAAAAAAAAAAAATTTTGATCCAAAGCCTTTCATTGAGCTTCATTAGGTTATCCATAGGCTAATCAAGGGCATATGGCCATTTATTATGCAAATTGATTCATTGAGTTGACCTAACTGAACCTGTAAGGTCATTTTGGGTAATTTGGTTAAATTAGTCCCATTGAGTTCCAATTGGTTTATCATATGCTAAACACCACAAATTGACCAATATATCAACCCAATTGGATTGTAAACTAAGGTTAGTCCAATTGAACTAAACTTAAATAATTAGGGTCAATTTGACCAACATCCAAGCTATCCATAAGAGGAAGGAGGTTGTCCATGCAAGTAAGGAAGAAAAACCTAACTCCATTTTATCAACTTATTTGAACTTCATGACATTTTTCATCTTTACTGTGATTGAAAATGGATTCTTATGTTTCTTTACTTATGGTATTCAAATTTCGATGTTGGTTAGGCAGTGTAATTGTAGTCATGCAAAGTATCCCAACCAATTATGCTCAAGGCTCAAAATTGTACAAGGTGATTGTTGGGTGGACTTGACCCCACATGATTGCAACCTTTATATGGCCTGAGAAAATAAAGCTAAAAACAAAATCATAGAGAAGCAAAAGGAGAACAAATTTAGAATGTGGAGCTTTATGAATCACACGTTTGGGTTTCATTTAAAACACAAATCGTCTCCGATAAGGGTTTGTTTGCCTTAATAGTTGAAGTATCGATGGTTTCATAGTAGCTTTTGCAAACAGACTTCCCTGGCAATTTATCTTTCTCTTAACTATTTGGCAAAGAAAAGCATGATTTAGTTGGTTAAATGTTGCCAATTTTGCTTGTTAAGCAGCATATTCTTCTAACCACCCATGAAATGAACCTAAGTGCAGATAACATCTTGAAGAAGCTTCTTTGCTCTGAATTGACTGTGGTTGTTATGATTACCCAATCATGTAATTATGTTGTCTTTATACTTCGTGAATCACATTTAAAGTACAATTTTTGTATAAGACCCAAACTCTAACGTTCGGGAAAACTAATATTTATAAAATTTAATATTTTTTAAAAGGGAAATTTACATACATACCACTTTATAACATCTTATTTACATATCTAACACCTAAAATTTTAATATTACATGAATACCACCCTATATTATTTTAATATCAAATATACCACTTACATTTCTTTCCTACCACTCATATATTTCATTTCTACCACTCATATTTGGTATGAAAATGAACTATGGGTGGTATGTATGTAATATTAAAGTTTTAGGTGTTAAATATGTAAATAGCATAGTATTAAGTGGTATGTATGTAAATCTCATATTTTGTTTAATACAGTGGAATAGAAATACTAGTTGTTGGTGCTCTCTACTGTCTGCTAGTAATTCGCTGAGGAAGGCTTCGGAAGCTAATTTGTTGGCTTCTCTCATGTTTGGCCCCCTTGCTTTATTTGTTGGAAAGTTTTCAACTTGAGTAGTATTAAATGCCGATGGGGACAGTTCTCCTAATATAAGTTATGATATGAAAAAATTGTGTTTAGTCTAACATTAGATTTTTTGAAAATTATGTTGGCAAGAAATATTAGTGGTTCTCACACGCGTAAATTTAAATTTTTTGCATTTAAAATAAATTTGAGAACTTTCCTATGAAATACATACAAGGAGCAGAAGACGCTTGATGAGAAAGACGCTTTACCAGAAACCACTATTGTTCTTCTTTTCAAATAAAGCACTCAAAGAGTGTTCGGTCCTGGGTCAGATTACCTCCAAAAGCTTTCCAGATGATTCAAAGCGCACATATTCCAGATTATAACGATTCAGATATTTCTGTACGTGAGGTTCTACAATGATTCATGGCGTTTCCATGTCTTCATTTGCCTGGCAACACCCGCTACAGTGATTCAAAACTTCAGCATTTCTATTGTACTTTTCTTTCATATATATGGTTCCAAGAACAATCAAATGGCTTGTTATAAAAGCAAATAACAATGTCCATAATTAGGTTCGTTACCATTTCAAGTAATAGCCGACGTTGATATGCTGCTTGATCTGATGCAGGAGTACATAACTGTCCTGATTGCTCTATATGCATGGAGTGAGCAAAGAAAGCTTTGTCCCAGCTTAAAGTGAGTTTGTTAAGAATTCTCCTTCGATGTGAAAGGTAATCAGAAAGTTTGGTGCTAATGGGGCCAAAGATTGTTAGAAAGTTGGACTCATGGGGGAAAGATTAAAAAAGCTAGGAATCCAAAATGTAAGTGAGATGGCTTCAGAACTGAAAGCTATGCACCTGACTAGTTTTTTGCAGCCGATAAATTGTTGCACTGAAGCAGGTTTCCCTCAAGTCAGGCACCAAGCACATGGAGGACCCCAGTGGCTTCTCTTCTCCGAAGGTTAAGAAAACTAGCTAGCTAGCTTCTATTTTCTGATAGTCCTCCAACCTTTCCTCTTAGTTCTATACATCTCCTTCCTATAAACTAGCATGAGTTGAGCTGACTCGCCTGTTGTTGATTTTTTTGTCTTATGCTACTGAAGTACATCAAGTATAATGCTGTGAGTCGCAGCTCAAATGGCAGAAAATCTGGGAAGGGTGGCCAACTTCAGCCTGTTAAACTCCACACTGAGGTAAATGGATGGCATTAAGTGAAGTGATGAATCTTCCTTCTGCAACTAGTATGCTTGGAAGAATACACAATACACAATAAGATCTATTAATGTGATTGAACTTTATAAATCAGGATAAATTTTTCTCCATAGTGATGTATAGGCCATGGGTATACACAATAAGATCTATTAATTAAGGCATGTAGTTAAGGTTGTAGACAAAGTTCTCAAAAAAGAATGTTTTTGAACAGCAGCGAGCTGGACCAGCAAAGGAACCAGGCTTTGTTCGAAAAGTTCAGGAGTATGTTGCTGAAGATCCTCCTAAACATCTGCCATTAAATAATGTGAGAACTCAGGTTAATGTTTATAACTTTACATAATTTGACTTGTTGAATTCACTCCCTTTTCTCCCATCTTATTTTGCTAATTTTGTACAAAAACTTTGCAGAATCTATCAAAGCTCTCTGTAAAGGAGCAAACAAAAACACATAACTTCAAGCTTCATACGGAAGAAAGAGCAGCAAGACGGGCTGGATTTAACCATTTGGTAAGGACTTGAGAATCTTTTGAAGTTGAGCTGTTCGCAGAGTTGATATTAGTTATAATTGAGTGCAGGTTGCTAGCAAGATTAGCACAATGGAGATTCTGAGGCGGTTTGAGGAGAAAATTCAGAAGGTTTTGCATTGTTTTAAGTTTATTTCAATTCTTCTACTGAATTATAAGTGAGATGGCCGTTCTTAATGAGGAAGATTACAGGTTATAGAAGAGGAGGAAATAAAGATTATGAGGAAAGATATGGTACCCAAAGCTCAGTTGATGCCCATATTTGACAGGCCATTCCTTCCACAAAGGTAATGTTACTATATATATATAGAAAATAATGGAAAGCGAGCAATATTGAAAACAACTTGAAAATATTTGGTGAGATAATCATCACTCTGAAAAAGACTGAATAGAAAGTGGCTCCTCCTTTGTAATAATTAATATGATTGGAAATAATTTTGTGCGCTTGAGGCCTGTGGTTGGGAACGTTGTTTTCAACGTTCAGATTGCAGTTCGTGCATACTAATTAGTAATTTTTAGTAATTTAATATTACTTTTGCTCATTATTTTAGAAAATTGTGCTATTTGATTTTGGTTTTATGAGTATTTTTTAATGTATATATTAATTACATTCGAGTTAAGTTAGTTCAAAGTAATTGAAATCAACTTTTAGAATTGAATTTAATTTTTTTTTATTTGTTTAAAGTAAACTAATGATTGTGAGTTATTATTTTTGAAACTCACCGGATAGTGAGATGTGAGATTAAGATTTCATTTGGGATAGTTTTTTTATTACTTCTTAAAATAGCTTTCTAGCTTAAAATTTTAAATCTTTATACTAAAAAATTGTTTTAAGAAACAGTAAGAAAGTTGTCCCAAACAAAACCTAAGTCTTAAAATTCTTTTTCTAAAAAACTGCTTTAAAAAGCAGTAAGAAAGCCGTCCCAAACGAAGTCTGAGTAAGAGGGCATGGAAGTCATAAACTCAAAAAAATGAACTTGCCTTACTCATTAATCTGATCATCAGGTCAGATTTTAACTTCTTCTGTATATGTTTGGCAGGTCAACAAGGCCACTAACAGTTCCAAAAGAGCCAAATTTTCGTTTCCTTGGTAAAAATTACGGGTCTGCGCAGGATTCCTACACTGTTTATCAGTATTTCAGCCAAAATGTGAAGGCCATCAGATGATTGATCTTCTTTTGAAATTAGGATTTCATTTAGGTTTGGTTTGAGATAACTTTCTTATTGCTTTCTAAAGAAGCTTTTTCATATAAAATTTTTTTTAAATTGAAATTTTTGTACTAAAAAGTTGATTTAGAAAGCAATAGGAAAGATGTCCCAAACGAAAACTTAGATTCTTAAGTTGTGCTTCATATTTTTCCTTGACATTTGGGTTTGTGCATTCATTTTAATACTTTTTTTTAAAATATTTTTGGAGTGAGTAGTGAGGAGTAAGGGCACCAAGATTTCACGTTTGGGCTATGAAGCTGGTGCTCGTCTTACAACAGAAGGTTTCTTGATCTGTATGTAATAAGTGTTTATTTGCTTATCTAATCATGATTTTTTTTTATTTCATATGCATAATTAAATGTATGATACAAAATTGGAATCTTTATCTTTTCACATATTTTTTTGGCCGTTTACATGACATGTTTAAGTGCCCAACTACAATACTTATTCAATAGAGTTTATGGCTTCATTTGGGACAAAATTTTAATTGTTTTGTAAAGCAGTTTTCTGGTATAAAAATTTCTTGCTCAAGAAAATTTTATATTCAAAAGATGATTTAAAAGAGGTAAAAAAGTTGTTCCAAATGAAGTCTAAATCAAACCAAAAAATATATAAAAATGAGAACTTAATCCTACAAAAAGACAAGTGAACTTAGAGTATAGTTTCACAGCTAACGGTAAAAAATTATATATTGATGTATAATAAATACCAAATGAATAATCCCCATCAAATGGCTTATTAATGTATTGTTCTTAACTTTAATCCCATTTTGATTCATCAGTCTGCTCTAAAAAATGATATTAGAGCTAATTGTTTAGCTGGAATTAAGTGATTTATGCTATTTGTAACTCTTTTGAGTTTGTGGCCCTTTCAATCATTGATCAGCAAGGTTTAACAATGATAACTTCCACAATCTTAGGTTTCATTTGGAATGTCTTCTTTATTGCTTCTTAAAACATAGTTTTAATACAAAAATTAGATTTTTTTGTACTAACTTTGTTTTAAGAAGCAATAAAAAAGTCATCATAAACGAAGCTTTAGTTCAATGAGTTCTTTTGCATATATGCGCAAAATAAAATCAACATAGTTGAAGAATTTGAATTTTTTTAAATTTTTTGAAGTTGGTATTAAATTTTACAAATCTAATAAAATGATGAAAGATAATTTTTTTTAATTAGTTTCTGAATTTCAAAGAAGCCAAAATAAATGGGCTCTTAGCTTCTTTGGATGGTATTGTCTGAGGAAGGATTGGAAAAGAAAGATGTCTTCTATAGCTTGAGAAGAAAGGTTCTCTTTAAAATTGAATGTTTAAATCAATTTTGTCGGAGGATTTAAGCAAGCTGGATACGAATATATATATTTTGAGTTCATTTTAAAAAAAAATCGAATATGAATACATTTATTTTAGGAAAGTCTTATGTTTATCAATAAGATGGTTTTGTTCACAGCTATCGAGAGATGGCGACTGCACATACCTAGTTAGTGGCTTGCCTCCACGTGCATTGTGGAAAGTGCCCAAGGCATTTGCCAAAGAAGAATATGCTATAGGATTATACCAGAGGTTGTTACACAGCTCATCTTAGCCTGTTGGTTGAGAGCTTAGGCTTCCAACTAAGAGGTCTTGAGTTCGAGTCTATGTGTATGTGTTGTGTGTGTGAGTTTGCCTTAAATGGCCTAAATGTCCCGAAAAAAATACCAGAGGTTGTTGTCCATGTGTAACTACTAGATTCTCATCCACGTGTTTGTAATAGTCAAATCATGTATTATTTTATTATATTTGTTTGAAGCCTCTCTTATAGCATGATTTAATATTTTTTCATACTTGTAATAGTTCTGGTAATCTAAATAATACTTCTATGGTATGATCATAAATAAGTCAACTTGAATATGTACATTAATTGCAAGAAGTAAGCTTTGCTAGGGTTTGGCTCTAGCACAACCTAATCCTTCTTCTCCATCTAGATTCATGGTCTCCAATAAAAGGAAAGCATTGTCTCCTACCTTTTACCAAGGGAAGTTCATCTTACCTTGTTTTTGGTTTTTTTTCTCTCTTTTGAGTGGTTTTCCCTCTTCATCTTGGATTGGTTTTTTGTTTGGATGTACATGTTTTCGTTGGAGACATCATCATCCAGGATAGTGAACATTTCTATTAGGAGTTATCCGGGGTTTTTAGCTAGTAAGAACCAATCAAAATCTTTTAAGAATGTGTTGGATGAATCCGCCTCTACGCTTTTCTGGATCTAAAGCTACTACTCATTGTGGCCTCACTGCTTTATGGATTTCGATCAGAGGAAGAAGTTCAAGTGCTTGCTATCCCTTTTGAATTTGCTTTGATAAAAAAAATTTCCATTTTGTAGTCCTATTTTAGATTCAATTCGCAAGTTATTTTTCAACTTAAGCTCATGGGTGAATTTTTAGTTACTCTCCTAAATTAAAAGCATGTGCTGATTAAGCTTTCAAATGATCTAGATTATCGTAGGGTTTTCCCACATATATTTTATTATTTTAGTGAGTGCTTCATGAAGTTCATAAAATGGTCACCATTTTTTACTTTTTTTAGAGGAATCTCTGATCGTTCCCATTTGGATTTCATTTCTGAATCTGTGTTCTCCTGATTTTCCTTATGCCAAATCTTTACTCATTTTGTCTTTCAAAATTTGTGGTTGCAATCTCCTAATTTTTAAAGGTTGTTCAGAATAATTGGTCTGCTCCTATATATTATTATGAGAGAATTAATGATATTATTAGATTTTCCTTAAAAATTAAGCATCTCAAAGAAGTGATAAGATGGTGGAATAAAAATATTTTTTGTAATATTTTTTATGTCATTTTATTAGAGGAGAATTGCATTTCTATTCCCTCTGAGGCTAATAAAAATCTTTTAATCAATGTTAAGTATCATTTCACCAACCTCCAACTTTCTGAAGAAGAATTTTGCCACCCAAAAGCTAATTCTAAACATATCTTTGAGGGTGATAGGAATACTAAGTATTTCACGCTTTAGCTAATACAAAAAAAAAAAAAAGCTAAGTCTTATATAAATAAAATCAAGATGGATTAGGGTGTTCGGTTGGAGAAAAAGGAAGCTATTGCCGCTTCTCCTATATGTCATTTTAAAAATCTGCTTGGTTTATTAAAAAAATGTGGAAGATATTTCTTATCCTCATTTTATTACTTTGATCATTATGATGATAATACTATGCTCTCAAAATGTCTTGATGAAGAGGAAATTTATCTCTCCCTTATGGAGATGAACATGAATTATGTTGCCGGCCCTGATGATTTCACTATTACTTTCTATCAAAAAAAGGCTTATTATTAAAGATGACTTATGTAGAGCTATCTTGGATTTTTAATGATTTCTTGATTCCTAAGGCTTCTACTAGTACTTCTATTTTTCTTATTCCAAAATATGATAATCCTGAAAGTTGGAACAATTTTAGACCCATTAGTTTGTGCACTTCTTAATTTTAATAAAATCATCTACAAAATTTTGTCCAATGGATTGGTTCTTATTCCTCCTAAGATTATCTCGAGAAACTAGACTGGTTTTGTGAAAGGAAGAAGTATCTTTGACAACATGATGCTTGCCCAAGAGCTTAGTCAGGAGATTAATCACAAAGTGATGGATCATAACTTTATATGATGCTTAACATTTCCAAAGCCTATGATAATATTAATTGGTCATTTATTTATAGCATATTGAATCTTTTATGTTTTAATGAAAATGTCATTGGTTTAATTTCTAATATTATCAAGAAGGATTGGTTTTATTTTGTCACTAATGGTTATCTTTATCATTTTTTTTAAAGCTGGGTAAGGTGTTAGACAAGATGACCCTTTATCCTCTACTCTTTATATTATTAATACTGAGTATCTTTCACGTGGATTCCTTTATATACTTTCTAGGAATAAAAGCTTGGCTTATATTAATGGTGGTGATTGAATATTTCTCACTTGTGCTTTTTGATGATATTATTATTTTATGTAATGGTTTTATTAAAAGTGTTAAAATTATTTATCAATTTTTTAAACTTTTTGAAAAGGAGAGTGGCCTTCATTTTAACTAAAAGAAATGTTTATTATTGTGGGAAAATATATGTATGTTAAGAAAATCAATTCTATTAAGTGTTGCACTAGTTTCTCTAAACAATCTCTACCTATTTAATATTTGGGGCCTCCCCTTCATAAAGGGTGCAAAATATCTTTCTTATTTGATAAGTTTTTTAATAATATTCAAAGCAAATTATCGGCTTAAGAATTCAAATTTCTTTCCATGGGTGGCAGGTTGATTTTGATCAAAAGTGTTTTATTTCCATACTTGTGTATTTATTCCAAACTATCAACCCCATTTTGAAGGTTTGTGATAGACTTCAGAAAATCATTAACCAATTTTTCTGGGGTTCCTCATAGGAGAATAAAAAAATACACTTATTTACGTTGTGATCCTGCATTTTCCCTCAATGTGAGGTTGGCTTAGGTTGTAAATCTATCCTTGATATGGTTAAATATTTTTCTATAAAATTGTGGTAGAAGTTTTGGGTAACATTTCTCTCTAGGCTAAGTACATGCATAAAAAGTACTCTAGGCTAATTATATGCATAAAAAGTACTACAATCTTTTACATCCTTCCCAATGCTTCTTTAAGATGGGGTAGTTAATTGGTTGGTTTTGTAACTCAAAATGGCTTGGGGAACAATGCATACAATGGAGAGTTAGGGAAGGGTCCTCTTATTTTTGGTAGGATAACTGGATTGAGGTTGGTTCTATTGATTATATATTTAATACTCATTCTATTTTGAATATGAAGGTTGCTTATTTTATTATGAACAATAAATGATATGATAATTAGATGTCTGGCATATTCTCATATATTTAGTTAATATTATTTGTGAGATTCTAATCAATAATTTCTCTAAAGTTCACCCTATAAAGTACTCTGTCAATGGTGAATTATGTCTTAAAGATGTTTGGAATATTTTTAGAACTAAAAGCAATCCCAATTATATTTTGTGGGCTCCGAAAATTCGGGTTCAGTGTCCTGATCGCAGCGATACCATCCATTTGGCATTCGGAGGTCATTTAACCATTCAAGTGACATGTGGCGCTAAGGCGCGTAATGTTTTATTCACCAATTGGGGTTCTTTATCGCGTGGTTTGAGGTATAGGGGTCAACAAATTTTTAACAAAATTTGGAATTCTACTACTCCTACTAACATCTCTATTTTTGTTTGTTGGATTCTCATGGATGATAGATTAATTAAAAAGGGTTTTCACATCACTTCCAAATATCAATGTTGATTTCTGAAAGTTAATCAAGGATGTTAAGCCCTTATGAAC